AGTCATGAGGAAGGAAAACAAGGAGAAAAAGCTGAGGTATGCCAAATTACACAAGAACGAGACTGAAAATCAGTGGCAACAGGTCTTGCGGAGTGATTACTCCAAACATTTTGGTTCGGATTTTTGGTTCAAATCATTTTCAGTATGTACAGAGTCCAGCCATCTGTAAAACACAGTGGAGGCTCTGTCATTATTTTTGAGCTGCATTTAAGCCACATGGTGTTGGGGAACTTGGCAAAGTTTATGGAGTTATGAACTGCTGTCAGAATTTGAGGCACCATGAAACACAGAAAGAGTGCGGAAAGAGTGTTTCTGGCACCGGCTTTATTTTTTTAGTGTGACGATGATACCAAACACACTTCCCATGCAGTAAACTCACACCCGGAACAGAAAAAACACAGAAAACATCCAAAGAAGAGCTTTGAATGTCTTTCAAGAATCTTAGATAACTATTCCTGGAGCCTACTTTAAGAAATTACAAGAAAGCTTGTCTAAGAGAGTCCAGGCTATGTTGAAGAAATGTGGTCATACCAAATATTGACTTTCAGACTTATTAGAATTGTGCAATTTTTTTCTTTTTCTTTATGCATAGTCTCTTAGACTATTTTTTAGCTATACTGTATATCCCAGGGTCAGCAGTGGTAACCAACGGACACGTAATTCAGAATATAAATAATACAGTTTACTCTGTATTTAATTAGAGTAAACTATATTAACTATATCCTGTTCATAGTGACAGAGGTTAAGACAAAACGGAATCTATCTGGCTTAAGGTTAATCTAGCTGTTTACAGACACGTTTGGCAGGGTTTAGCCCCCATAAAGGCTCGGTGTTCACAGCCAACAGTACACTGTTGTACTTTTATAAACAAAGCCATTAGTTTAACCTCGCAGCTACCGCGAATATGAACATGGGTGTAAACTGAGAAAATAAAACAACTCTATCATTTCTATGAAACAAATTTCCAGCTTCCACTCAAGAGGAAGCGAGACCCGAATTATGTTGCACAGAATTGCAGAAGTGACGACAGCTGCTCTCCAAGAAGGAAAAACAGACGAACCTGTGAAGAAAAACTGTGTTGAAAAGACAATACAGTCAGATTTCCAAAGGCAGCAAAAACAACTCTGAGAGCTACTCTCCAGAGAGAAAGAGGATGAGAGTAGACACTGAGAAAAAAAGAAACAACAGTGACTCGGAGCATCCAAAAAAGTTCTTCTTCAAGGACTATCCAACTCCAAGTTCAGAAAAAGAACAATATGAACTTGAGTGATACCAAAAACTCTCAAAATACACCAAAAGACAACAAGAGGCCAGGACAAGCACCAGTGACACAGAGGAGCCAAAAAAGTTGGACGCCAAGCACTATCCGACTCCTAGTTAAGAAAATGAACAATATGACCTTGAGTGAAACCTCTGAAAACACACCAAACACACCAAAAGACAACAAGAGGCCAGAAGCAGTAGTGACACAGGGCGTCCAAAAAAGTCCCTGAGCCAGGACTATCCAACTCCCAGGTCAGAAAACAAACGATACGGCCTTCGGCTAAGGAAAATTAAAAAAAAAAAAAAACATCTCTTACTGCTCTGTTTATTTCTTTAAATGAACACTTGTACTTTTTTGTCATAGAAGAATAAGAATATTAATATGAATATGAACACCAAGGCGTTTCCAGGCCAGCCAAGAGAAACCCGTTCTCACTCCCGACACGTACACGCAGTTTTACTTGACGTTGGGCGCCACCTCGCGGCAAAAAAATAAAGGTTGCGCTGCGGTCGCGTGTGGTAGCGTCATTACGTAAATATTGTGTTGACGTGGCGTGAGCGGTAGCAGTTCAATAGCGGTTAGCAGGCACGTAACAAACAGACTACAGGGAGAGACCAAGGAGAATCCAGTGGAAGTATGGACAGTAGAAAGAACAATTGAGGGATCGGGATTCACTTTATCAGGCAAAGGTAGTTGTAAACGATTTCCTAAAGACATTTTAATCAACTGCTGATCAACGGGACACAAAGCTCATTAGCGGTGGCGATATAATAAATGTGGACTCCAGTTAGCACTAGCCTAGCCCGTGGAGATGGGTCGCTTCTTGTTGGAGAGGATCTGGAAAGTCTGTTTAAGACAGTTGTTTAATGGCTTAAAGAAAGTGTTTCTTAACTTACGCAGTTATTTCTGAAATATAATCGTCCCACACCTCACCGTTGTTTTACGAGAAAAGCGAGAGTGTAGCAGCATTGTGCTGTTCGTAGACAACAACGTAGCTAAATAGTTGCTAACCTTAAATTTTAGCCACCATATCACTTTACGAGCTTGGTTAGTTAATCGCATGCTTGCGTACTTGAATAAGAAGATGATTGCTGGTGTGCCCGTTGTTTAAACCATTCAGCACTAGATGCTGCTTACATAGCACTCGTTGTCTGGCCTTACATTGGTTCAAAAATAGACGGCTTCTTGTTTAAACTGATAACATAGTATTGCCTTGCAGTTATTTCACAATTGTGATATGGTGGACCTTTATCTGATCTGACTGAGCCTTTTTGAGAGCTGACTAGCCTGATCATATAGCATGATCATAGTGGTATAGGTTGAGACTAAAACATTCAGTGTAATCAGTCTTATCTGTCAGATCATAGTAGGATTGATGTGTTTTCTGTATATACAGCCAAAATGTTAATGCCTATTCTGTTGAACTACAGTAGCACATGTTAAGTAAGTTGGATAGCCCATAGATTTTAAGATGCACACTCTAATAAGTTTTTTTTTTCTTGATTCAGTCTATCAGCCTGTGCTCTGAGCCATTGTTTCCTTCTGCCTAAAACAGTGAAGAAAAATGTCCAGCAGAAGCCAGCACTATGGATTCCAGTCAGCCACCATGGTGCAGCCTGCCAATGGCGGGCATGCCTATCTGTTCGGAAACAACAGCTCAGAAAATGATATGTCAGAAGAGGATGGGGAAAGCTATGAGCTTCGGCCTCGTGGCAGAGAGAGACTCCGGAGGAGCACCTCTAAAGAGAGAATGGATGACATTATCTATTTGACCAGAGATATCCAGGAGGGAGACACTCTGAACAGCATCGCCCTACAGTACCATTGCTCAGTATGTGTTTACTTAGATTTGTGTGTTTGTCTTACCTCTCCTTTGCAGCATGGACTAAAATCCTCATTTGTTTGTTTTTGTACACCTGCACTTTTCTCTTTATGTGGGAAACGTACAGAAACATGCTTTGTTGCTTTATATGTCTAGGAAAGCAGGTGAGTTGTAGGTAGGTAAGCTGCTGTTGCTCACTTTATTTTATGATGATAGTGGTTATTAATTTCTGAAATTGAAACTGCTTGCTAAACAAAGAATTGGAAGCAACCTAACACCTTCAGATTGAAACATTGTAGTTTTCACTACAATGTTTCAAAATGATTTCTTATTATATGTAAAGCAGCACTTTTTTAGAAAAGATATGTGAGATTGACAAACATCTGTGGAAAGTTTATTATAATCAGTGTTTTTTTATATATGCATGTAAAGAGTTCAAGTACAGGTTTAACAGACAGCAAATTGTAAGTGGCTTATTAATTACTTATAATTTTTTTCCCCCTGTGAATCCCAGGTGGCGGACATCAAGCGTGCGAACAACCTTTTGACAGAGCAGGACTTTTTTGCCCTGCGTTCAGTTAAGATTCCTGTGAGGCGCTTTAGTGTCCTCACTGAGACTCATAACGCTGCTACTCTCAAATCTGCCTCGCCCACAGGCACTAGACACCCGCCTCAGGTCTCGCACATTACTTCTCTCCCTTCTGAATCCTCCATGGACTCCTGTTCTTCCACTGACAGCGTGGAAGGATTCCTGATGGAGAAGGACAAGGACATTGAGCGGCTGGTGAAATCCACAGGACCATCTCGGAGCGGCCTCAGTGAGGTTGTGTCCTCTTTAACGCAGCAGCAGCCATTACTAGGAGAAGCTGGATATAAACCAGTACAGAGGAAGGATCCTTATTATGGGGCAGACTGGGGCATGGGATGGTGGACTGCTGTGGCAATCATGCTTTTTGTCGGCATCGTCACACCCATCTTTTATCTGTTGTACTATGAAGTTCTTGTGAAAGCTGACGTTAGCCATCATGGTATGCCTACACAAACTCAGAAAGGCTTCTCTCATGAGTCTCAACAAGGCAACGGTTCGATCGGGAGTCAAGACATTCCTGGAGATGCTCAACATAGGCTTGCAGTTAATGGAACTCAGCAGGGACGGGTTGCGGACAAAGCAGGAGACGGTGGAGATAGAGAAAATGAGAAAACATAGCATAGCACCTAAAATGTGTCGCTAACTCAGAGAACTAATAGAACTATCCTGATGTTCCCATTTACAGATAACTTTTAAAACATCACTCTAATCCATCTGGCTGAACTATACAGGAGACAATAACTTTGGAGGATTGAAAGATTAAGTTGTGGCCACAATCATAACTTGCGTCTCTCCATTTGCATACAGTTGACAGACTGAATGTGGGTCCAACTCTTTGCAAGATTTACGTCTGGTTTGATAGACCAATGCTGTGCTGCTTCAACCTTTTTAAAAGTGACTGCATTTCATAGTTGGTCTGAGTGTCTCCTGTAAACTCGAGATGGTGTCTTTGCAGTCAGCTGTGCTGGAGAATTTTTAGCCGGTTACACACAAATGCTGCCCAGGGAGTTTGTGGATTTGTATAAAAGATGTTTGAGCTGTAACTTTTGCCATGTTAGTTACATTGCACTTTCCAATGGTACTTGTTGGAAAAGTTAGGATTGCTGCCACTGTGTGTGTAATTAAAATTAATTTATTTGAAGACTGAACATCAGTTTTTACGTACACTACCAGTATTGATCCTCAGTTGGAGTTAAAATGAATTTTTCTTGAATTTCCATCCTGCTTGAAAGAACTGGGTTTTTTTTTTTCCCCAATTAAGAATCAAAAATATAAATAAGAGCATGGTGAGGAAAATGCACAATATTCCCACAATAACGCATTTGTAATTATGTACAATTTTTAGACTTGTTATGTAGCCCTTTTATTTTATCACTGTGTTCAGTTGATATTCTATGACAGAGCATTGTGTGTTCTTAACAGTATGTGCCTTTCAACCTGTGAAACCTGACTAGAGGATGAAAAATAAATCTATTTTGAATAAATTATTGCCATGTGCAAATATTTCAGTATTTCTTATTTACATTAGTCTTTAACGAAAGCTTGATTAGAAAAGAATTCGCTCCACTCTACTGAACAGCTTTCCCAACTCATGTGCAATATTTAACCAAAAGAAGCAGTCACATTATGTTTAACTTCAGCACTTCCTTGCTTGAGAGACGCTCAGTATGTTGCTTCGGCATCCATATTATCGTCACTGTCCGCGGCGAAATCTTCACCGTTGTCGAAGTAGCTTTCTATGTAGTCGTTTTCCTACACGGGACAAATAAAAAGCAATGTCAGATCTAGTTTGCACATATTGATCATTATGTGTAACACATTTTTCAGTACATCTTGAAATTTGCACCTCTTCAATATCCTCCTCTTCGTATTCTTCCTCTTCAATTTCCTCTTCTTCATCCTTATTTCCTGGCTTCTTTTCAGTCTCCTCATCTGATTTTTCAGGGTCATCTTTGTTTGCCAGTTCCTGACATTAATATCAAATTACTCACGAGAAACACCAAAGATGTGGAGAGAGAACTGACAGTAAATTTAAATGAAGCTTACATCTAATTTGGTCAGAATGTTCTCTGCGTCCTTGCGTGATATCTTCGCACTTTTCTTTGTGCCTGTTGGAGTTAAACATTGGGTCTTTATTCTTATAGTAACAAAGAAAGTAAAAAGAAATGTCATTTCATACATATTGTGTTTAATGTACCCGTTTTAGCTCGAGGTCGTTTTCTTCTGGGCATCAGTTCTTTTGGAAAAAGGTTCCAGTCTAAAAAAATAAAAATGTTATCATCGTCCTCTTTTTTTGTGTTCCACCTAACCCCATGATGATGTGTTACATACGTACCTGGAGTCCATTCATTGCCATCAATCTGGCTTTGCTTCAGGTATCTCTCGGTGTATCTCTCCACTTCTGTTTTCATGTAAACAAAAGAAAGGTCATACTCTTAAAAACACTTACTCTATTGTGCGTCAACACAAACTGCAGTGTTACTCGTGATCCTCACCCCACATTGTCATGGTCAGTAGTTTGCATACAGTCAATGGCATGAATGTGATGGTAATTCGGGGCTTTAATGATTTCTTTGAACTCTTATTTTTATAGAGTGGAAGGACTGTACAGCATGCACCATTAATGCCTCTAACAACAAAACAAAAAAAACCCCAAAGAATTTGTTACACAAGCTTGGATTAATTTTGGCAGTCCTTGAAGGATGAAAGGATTGATAACACTAAATGGCGCCCACCCAGACGGACCCGACTTTTAAGCATAGTCCACAAATTTTCAATAACGTTGAGGCTGTGGTTTTGGGAAAGCCAGAATCTTAATGTTGGTCTTGCTTTATCCAATCCAAAACCAATGTTGATGTGCATTTGGGAACACTGTCCTGTTTGAACACCCAGTTGTGTCCAAAATTTCAACCGTCTAGCTGTGGATTTAAGGTGAATTTGAAGTTGTTGATTTTTTACAGACGAGAATTTGGCCATGTAGGCAGCTGCAAATTTCACTTGTTGATTTTGGAGCAGGGTATTCTTTTGTGGTCGGCAAAAGAACTAAAACTCGGCTGGTCTTTGAGTAATTTCAATTTCACGGTAGACTTGTGACCCGGTTGTTCTTGGGTTGTTGTGAACATCCTAACCAATTTTCTCTTATCTGAGGGTAACAGTTCGGATCTTCTTCCAGAAAATGGAAAACTTGGAATCTGATATTGTTTAAAAATAGCTCAAATAGACTTTCCCCAAATTATGTAAATTATCCATTCTCCTTCTTGGATCTTCACAGAGTTCCTTCAACTCTCCCATTGTGCGTCAATACAATGAGCCCTGTCAAACAAATCCTTCTTTTTTTCCTGTCAAAGACAGACTAGTTGTTTTCAATGATGATCACTGATGAGAAGTTAATAGGCCTTGGTCTCATCAAGCTAAAAGACGTTTAATATCTGTTCTGCTCTACAGCCCATCAACCAGCTCTCTTTTTACTGCAGGTTTGGGATGGAGTACAATGTCTAACAGCTATCTAAGACAGTGGAAGTAGTGCCCAACCGTGGGATGAGAGTCTTGCTGAAGAGGCTGTAGATATGAAGCAGCTGCTTCTCTGTTTATCGGTCATGATGTGTGTATATTTGCTTCTGCACAGAAGAACTGGGTGCACCTCCTTTTCATAGATAATTTCCCTATAGTCATGTTCACCACAGACCCCCTGCTGAATAAGCAATCCCCCCCTTCCCCCTATAAAATACACTGACTTCTTTACATGGTTACATTTAGCTAACTGTGGAACAGGAGAGTTCTAAAAAGCCAGTAATCCAGACAAAAGAAATCTGTGGTTTCGCAAGATGAGACATCTGTAACTCAATATTCTGTCATTAATCTGCATCTCTCCCTTTCCCAGATATGACCTTAACTGAAAGTCTTTGTTCCTAAAAGCTGCATTATCTTCCCCAACAGCAGACAACTGTCTTACAGCGTCATTTCAGCTGATGTCAGGCTTCTAATGCACCGCTCTCCTCACCTGCTTTATTGGACTGAGGTTTGATGTTGTGTGGCAGCCGTTGCATTGTTCCCCTCATCTCTTGTTTTAAGGCCAGCATGTAGTCCTCATCCTCACCAGCTTTCAGTGGAACTGGTTTAAAATCAGTGTTCTGGAGAAGTACGGATGATGTAATGCCGATATTAATGATGTTCAAGTGCAAATAAATTTCAAATCTAACTGAAATTCAGACTGCCATGTAAAGGTGTTCAACTTTTTCAGTATGAATAGTCAAAATATACTACATTGTAAGCATAGCATAGTCCAAACTGTGTTTAAAAGAAAAAAAATCCCCATAAAGCATCCTGGCAGAATCCAAGAGGAATGTAAATATCTGCCATATTCTTGGGGAATACACACGGCCAATGAAAACCTGGCCATGAATTTTACATAAGCACATACATTATTGCCCTTTACCCCCTTTGTGCTTATTTGTGAACACTGTGAGAGACACTCATTGGGTCATAACTCTTAAACACACGTTGGCCATGAGCACGATGAATATACTTTCATCTGCCTTCATTTAAATACAAATGCAGTAAAATGTTTTGTAAATTTCATTACAAAGAATAAACCTTAACTTATTATAAGTAAACGTCCACTGTATATAGTCTGCTATTCAAATTCCATGCAAATTTCACCTACCTCTCTCAAAAAGGTCTCTCCTAAAGTCACTCCAGTAAAGTTTGACCTCAACCCTTTTGAGCATTAGAGGTGAATTTGTTATATTGAAATGCAATCTGACATACTGCTTGTGTGTGTGTGCGCTTGTGTGTGTGTGTAAAAGACTGTGTTCGGTACTTACTGGAAACAGAGGACTGGGCCCCACCCTGGCTTCTGGCATGTTGCCCCTGCCGATGCCCAGAGCGTCAATATTGAAGGTAAAAGCACCCACTCCACGACCCTTGCCTGCCATGGCTGCAGGTCTCCTCTGTTCCTGCACACACACACACACACACACACACGTCCACATATCTCCAGTCAACACGTGTTGATGAAAGTTAACGTACTACAGCTTCCATCGCCTTTAGCGTGACTCTGCCAGCAATGAAGCTTTAGTCAGCATCAGAGACGCACTCTGCGTGTATAGTATGTTGAAATACTTACTAGAAGCCTGTTAGTATACTGCGCCTAATGTAAAAAAGCACAGTCTACTTCAGAGCTGGACAGCGATATTTAGCTCTTACTGGATCCGCATGTTTCAGTTTTTTAATGTACCTCTCTGGCCGGTTTTATCTGTCCCTCGGCAACTTCTTAAAAATCACATACATTTCAGCTGAACCTAATGAAGATACTGCTTAGCTAGCACCGGCTTTGGAAACCTGCACACGCCATACGCCACTGTCAGCATGCGTAAATGTGGCTTTAACTCGCTCCTCCTCTGCGTGACGACAGAGGAGGCGTGGTTTGCGTATAGCCAATTGCAACCCACGTTAAGCTGCCGTCGTTTATCGGTTTGCCCAGTGAGCTTAGTGTCCTCCTACAAGGGTGTGTCTGCGGCCACCATCGCATTAACCTCAATGAAAACATATCATCTGTAGCTGGTAGGCTAGTTACACCTCTCCCCCCAATAAATCACCTGACAGTACGACACCATACTGAACCCTACTTCGACAAGCGAATGAACTGGGATGTCTGCAGTCGACTGGTACGCTCACAAATCGCTCGGAGACGGAATCTTCTGGATCCAGGAGCGATTCTACCAGTCGGAGAACCGAGCCAACATCTGGTTGCTGCGCGGCACACACCAGGACGTGGTGATAGACACGGGTCTGGGCTTAAGGAGCTTACCTGAATACATCGACGCCAAAGGCCTGCTGGGAAAAGACCCGCAGAGGAAGAACCCGTTGCTTGCCATCGCCACCCACGCCCACTTCGACCACTCCGGTGGTCTGCATCAGTTCCAACAGGTGGGCGTCCACAGCGCGGAGGTCGATGCCCTGGCCAACGGAGACAACTTCGAGACGGTCACTTGGCTCAGCGACAGGGAGATAGCCGAGGCTCCCAGCCCGGGATGGAGGGCAAGGCACTACAAAGTCAAGGCTGTGCAGCCCACACACATACTGCAGGAGGGTAGGTAGGAGATACAGCCCTTGTAGATTTGATTTAGGCTAGAGGGATGGATCTGTGATCAAATACCAGCGTGGTCTAAAAGCATTCACTTAGTGACAAGGACCATAATCGATACAGTAATGGGCTTGATGGATGCACCAGGCCTAGTGTGAGCACAGTACGCTCTACAGAGTCGTTTCCAGCCTCAGATTCTGCACAGCGATTTGGCAGAAGACCAACAATGACTTGCTAGCTCACACATCGAAACGTATTACATATGTAATGGAGGTAGTGGGGATGGGACAAGGGGGGCGGTCTGCCAGTAATTTTTACAGTTACAAAGTAGGCTAGAGGAACCAGTTCAATGCAGCAACATGAGGCCAGGACTGGTGATTACACAGGTGCAATTATCCCATTACATAAAACAGGATATTCTATCCAAGGAATGCAGGTACAGACAATTTCTCCCTATTAGAAGTGGATGCTTTAAAAAAAAACAACCAAAAAAATTCTATTGGTAGCAACTATATGCTCATTCTCTATATCTGCAGAGCTGTTCTATTTTAAGCCAGTGTGATGGCTTTGATGTATTCTCTTGCTTCCAAGAAAGAAGAAGAGCATACAGAGACTGGTGTCACACTTAATGAAAGCATCCCTCTGCACGGAGTAACAACCACACAGTCTTCTCTTTTCTTAAACAATTTTTTTATAGTAGAATAGAATTCAACTTTATTGTCATTGCACAACTTACAGGTACAAGGCAACGAAATGCAGTTTGCATCCATCCAGAAGTGCTTTAGCCATGATATAGATCTATTACAAATATATATTAGCAATAATATAGATATGTAAGTATATTACAGAAATGGGTCTATTATGGTATGTTATAATGTACACGGTATGAAGTATGTTGTGAATATTCTATAACTATAAGTATGTACAGGTTGTAGTGAGTACAAGCTATGTACAGGCTATGAACAGGATATAAATATGAAAAACTATACAGAAATATAAGATATACAGCTATACAGAAATGTGAACTATGCAAGTTATAAACAGTTGTAGAATTAAAAATTAAAAAATTATTATTAAAAATTATTATTATTATTAGTGGGTCAGAGATCAGCAGGTGGCGAGCTGAATCAACCTACTTGATAAATGTGAAAGTGGATACATTGTTTGAAAGCACTGGTCACTGGAGTCTTTATGTAAAGCACACATTCACCAGAATAGCACACATAATAATACACAAATCTTATATCATAAATAATGTATTTGCTGAACCACTATATCCATTGGGGTTTGATGCAAAATGCAGTATTGTAGAGTAACTTGTTCTGCTGTGTCAGAGCCACTACTGCAGTGCAGCTGGTATATCTCATTCCCTGATGTATCAACTTCACCCTTTTTGCCAGTGCAACTCATAACTGGCCTCGACCAAATCGATGATATACTGAATGTCACAGAATCTGTGTGACTCAGTGACATGACAGTCTAAGATTTTAAATGCATAGTCGCCGGTGATTACGGTTCATGCCATGTTTGTATGTGTGAATAATTATCAAAACCTAATGCCTTCTCAACCTCTCTTTCTCCTGCTTAGGTGATGTCATCAATCTTGGTGATAGACAGCTGACTGTGCTTCACATGCCCGGACACTCTCGGGGAAGCATTTGCCTTCATGACCGGGACAATAAGTTGCTTTTCAGTGGCGACGTTGTGTATGACGGCGCAATGATTGACTGGCTGCCCTACAGCCATGTCAGTGACTACATAAGCAGCTGTGAGCGCCTGGTTGGGCTGGTGGACAGCGAACAGGTAACTCTAAGGCCCACTAGAGAGCAGCCTCACAATTTCAGTACACAGTTCCACTTTTTTTTCCAGGGGTATTTATCCCAAAGCACCGTATATCAACATTTCATAGATTTATAATGAAAATGTCTGAAATTTGGCATACCAGTATCTATTAGCCTACATATACAAGCTGTGTTTTCTGTGCTAATACTTAAAACAATATAATTTAACATGTACTAAACATTATTTGTTAAATAAAATACATGTTTATTGGCTTTAAAATTGATTTAACAGGTCGACCAAGTCCTCCCAGGGCACTACAACGCATTCGGTGCGAAGCGGCTCCATCGGCTTGCCTCCACGTACATCAGCAGGGCTGAAACATGCCCTGCAAAGTTCTCCACGTTTGCCTGGAGGAGTCTGGCTGGGGTGGCTCTGCGGGTGTGCAACCCACGGTGTGCCTGCTAATGAGAGTGGGTCATTGAGCTGCAGGAAGCAAGTGCACAAAGAGAGATGTTTTAGTATGGAGGACATGGAAGACTGGGGGCGGGGTTACCTCTGTTTTATCTGCAACTTAACGTAATGCTGTCCATTTACTTATGTAATCCAGCTGAAAATCAAGTAATTGCCAAACTTTGTGTGAAATGTCCCTACTGGGTTACAGAAGTGAATAATCAGCACCATATGAAGCCTATTATAAAAATATTTACTGGTCTTATATGCTGATGAATATGTATATGTCGGTGTTAATATAATTCAGTGTTTGATTTTTATACTTTAAGCATACGTGAAGTTACAATAGCACAACAATAGCACAACTCTGCACTACAAACAGAACAGGGCGCTTTGGGTTTTCCTCTGAGACATTTGAAACAAAGTCATTATGGCCATAGTGTTCTCTATGCATATTACAATGCTCAGTGAAGACTCAGTGTCGACTACCTCCGATGTTTGTAATTGTGCTTTGTACTATTGACTAATCTGCGGCTTTGCTATCGAAACATAGACAATAAAAGTCTCTGTTCTACCTACTTTTTGAGTCTTTTGCAGCACAGATTGCGGCGGCTTCTAAGTGGATTTGCTTCTCCAGGGGGAACTCAAATGGGATTTGTTGCAAGAGAGGGAAAAAGGGGCAGAACAGAAGTGGATGGAATATGATCCAACACATGTTCAAAGGATAGAGAACTTAAAGTCATTTTCTGATCTGATGGAAACCTCTCTCAATGCATGGAAAGGGTTTAATTTGGGGGGCTTTTAGTGTACAAAATTAAGAAAAGTAGCGTGATTTAACCTTCTAACAGAAATATCAGATTTTATTTTTAAGTTCAGTGCATTACTAAAGAATTTCACCATAAAAATATACACAGAACATGTTAATTTGGATACATAAGAAAAGACAATTTTTAATTCATAAAACATTTATTTAATGTTATATTATTTAAACACGAGATTTCCACATCTCTCGTTTTCAGTTCACCTCCGAGGATGGCATACATGCAGAACACGAAGCCTGCCAACACGGGAAACTCCGCCAAGGTTATAACATTCAATGTTATCTGTGACAGTTAAAAGATCTGCACGTTATCTAATATTATGATCATCAAATATCAACACAGCTGCATTTATAACAAATTCAGTAATGTAACAAAAAAAAAAAACCAAATACAGGAGGTTTATTTGTTAACTTATAAAAATTAATTTACAGTAACAAATGCTGTCGTTCAGCGTACGACAGATCTTAGTAAAAATGATTCGAGTTCTGAGTCCCCAAGAGGGCAACGGCTTCCAGAGTCCACAATAAACACGGAAACGGGGAAAAAAAGAGGCAAAGATTTACTGCACTGACAACACCAACCCTCCTATAAGGTTTTCTGTAAGAAGAAGAAACTGCACTGACTGTCTAACTAGCAAAAATGTAACAAGAAGTTGGCGGCAGTGTTAAGAAATCATTAAAAAGGTGACTGACTAGAGTTCATGTAAGCACACTTTTTTTTTTTAGAATGTTTTTTTTAGAATTTCGCCAAGATTAAATCAGTTTTCTTTCTTTGTTGCGTGATAATAAATCGCTGGACGGCAGGATTGGAAACTGAAAACAAACAATGCTGCAGATTAGTATGGCTTGGGTTTTCAATAATAATTGAGCTTTGGTTAAAATCAGTTTGCTTAGGAGTTGCACTGTGTGATCTATTACTGTGTGATGTAATACTATCTATTACAAATCTATTACTTAGTCTGATGGCAGCCTGTCAATAGTGTGCAGATAAGAGGAGAGCACAGATTTTTTACCCTGAAGAGATCACAGTCGTAACTAGTACAGTAAGTATGAGCACTTGCAGAATCATTTGAAATGATCTGACGAAGAAATATTTTAACTGCAAGTCAAAACATGCATGAAAACAAAAATGGTGCATAGTCGTTCTGGGAGACCCCACAAATAGCATGAATAATAAGTAGACTGAAACAAGTATCACAGTACAGGCGACAAATAACCCTTACCTCTACACATAGCAGTCTCTAATATTGGAAAAATCTTGACTGGTGTGTTCATATTACCTCATGCTAACTGGCTTCTATACTGCAAACACTGCAAACTTTTTGAACATAACAGGAAACATCCAGTCAAAATACGACTAGTGCATTAACAGACATGTTTGAGTGGCCAGGATCACTGGCCACTCAAAATGTGTGTTTTTTTTTTTACTTTGTTTTTATTTTTTCCAGTTTCAAAATCAGATTTTCAAAGACAGAAAGTAGACCTAGTGTGGCATGAATTTGAGCATGCCCTTATCTGTTAGCATCAACTTCTTCCAAGCAGCATTACCATCAATTCTCAAAGCAAGCAGAGTACCTCCCAAATACTTTTGGACTGTTTTGAAACACTGTGGCAACCAAGCAAATGTCAGAGACTCCTGCAGTGATTGTCACATGTCTTTTGTGTTAGAAGACATTCCAGTTCGCCCAAGAAGGGTCTTCCATGGCTCGTCCTCCACCAAGAGGCAGGCTGGAGGCATCCTTCTCAGGGCTGTGCATGTGGCATCGCAGATTGCCTGAGTTTGGTTCACGTGTGTTAAGCTAATTAAACCATGGTTTAATAAGCACTGTTGCCTTTAGGCAAGCAAAAAAACCCAAAAAAACACTGTCAGAAATGAAGTTTACACCTGACTCTGGAGCCAGTTGCGAGGATCAAGTCTGGCCCTGAGGTTTCTTAGGCTGCGTCGAGCTGGGGAGGGCCTAGAGAAGGGGCCTCCCTCTGATGACTCTGGGCTGTGGCTGCCCTCACTGTTGCTGGAGCTGTTGCTTGAGGTGGAGCTGGAGCAGGATAGCGTGGTTTGTGTGCTGTGCTTTGACCGGGGGGAGCGACTGGAGATGGGGAGAGGAGCAAGCAGGGACGAGGGAGGCGGCTGGCAGGAACACTGGAAGGTCCCTCCACCTCCGTACCCTCTCCCTCGAAGGGTGCTGAGCTTAGCATCCAAAGAAAGAGTGCGTGGCCTCAGACGCGAGGGGGAAGATGACAAAAGAGAGTAGCTGGAAGTAGGTTCAGGCCAGCCGTGGTGGTGAGAGCAGGGACTGGTGCTACAGTGGCTGTCGCTATCTGAGGTCAGACTTGCGTCTGAAGACAGCAGGCCGAGCTGTGGGCAGCGGTGAGGACTCACAGGACTCCGAGGCAGTCGATGAGGGGTGCAGGGGCTGTGGCCAGACATGCGAGTACAGTGACGAGAGCGGCCAGTACATCTGGCATTGCTCTCCTCAAACGCAGACATCCAGGTGGGAGAGGTGCCTAGCTGGCTACGGAGCTCCAGCTCCTGCATTCTCCGAGCCAGGATGTCTGACACGTTGCTGCTGAGGTCATCAGATGACTCAATAACTGCAAGAGAAAAGCGGCAAATCTTATTAGTATGCCGCCATGGAGTAAACCTGAGACCAGTTTTACAGACTGATCAGTTTTTCCTGGGATTAAATCTAAATTGCAGGGTTTTTTTCTTTAGAACAAGTGCTAAAGATAGCAATTACTGTAGGATATTTTTAACATTTTGAGTGTATTCATGACATCTTTCCAATTCATGCAGATTACAATACTGCATAATTCTATTCAGAATGCAGACTCCAGCTTCTTGGGATTGCAACATTTACCACAAACCAATTCATGTTGAGTCCTAGTCCTGTTACTTCACCTGTCGTTGTAATAGGATGAGAGCAGAGCACGAATCTCAGCAGACACAGCGTTATCCTGCAGCAGAAGACCCTCACAGGAGGGTGTGGCAAGAGGAGCTGCCAGGGTTAGGAAAATCAACAGGGAAGTTGGTGAGAGAGTTGGGATAGAGCAGAGACGGGGATGAGGGAAAAGTTGGTAGTTTGGCAATTTTAATGGACATGACAAAAAAAGGAAAAGGATACACGCTCATTCAAACAGGAGTGATGGGAAAACAAAGAAAGATTTCATTCATGCATCAAGATAATTCAACCATTACAATGAACGGTGAAAGTTTATGAAAAGCGTGATGAAATTAATTTTACGTTATTTCACACGGAAATAAGGGAAATGGGGAACAGGAAATGGCGAGGAAGGATAGATATGACATACAAAGGAACGTGAAAAGGAAAAAGAGGAATAGAGAAACAGAAGACAAGTTAGTCAGCACGTCAGAGATAAGAACCCTTCTATTTAGAGCACAGAGAAGTGAAGCAGAGAGTGAGTTTGAGAAATCGGATAGGAAAACGTAATTGACAGCATCTTTGATGCACGTGCACTCAAGAAACAGAAATTCAACACAGCCACATGCAATGCAGGCACAGTGCTTTATTTTTCACATTAGGTTATAAGTGACCAAAAAACACCTTGACACAAGGAGAATTCTTACCCATTTCATGATACAAAGAGCCTTGTTTCGGTGTGATAGGAGCTGGTTTTCGCGGCGATGGAAGTTCAATTTTCATTAAGTCATCACAGCATTGTTTCCACTGGCCTGTACATTGGAGGCAAACGTCACCATCAACAAATCAAGCAGCAGATGGAGAATATACGGCACTATATGCTGTCCTTTAAAACATATGTTAAACGACCACATGTTGCGGGTTTAAATGACACATAAGGACCTACTCATATCGTAGAAATGTTGCCAAAAGGCTTCCATCCAGCGGTGTGTCTCCTCGCGGCTGTCTGTGGTCACAGTGTGCGTAACCTCCTCCCCTCCGTAATGGTTGCTGATGCAGATATTCTGAACTTTACTGAGAGGGTCTTTCTCTGATGCACGTATTCTGGTCTCCTGAAACACAGGAGTGGCAAAGAATACAATCATCTACCGCAAAAATGTCTACAACAGGGAACGAATGGAAGTACAGTGTGGTTCAATGAATAAGTCTCCACTGAAAATAAGCCTTCATTAATAAAGTCACCAATTAGTGCTCTTCCAAACCATTTCCCTCCAGCAATTATCCAACAAAAGGATTCTGACTCCCAATTCCCATAACTTGCTGTACTCTAAATATGGCTAGGTATGACTATGACCACTAGATGGCAGTGTTGTCCTGTTCACGCCTTTGCCATGCTGCGCTCCCTCTTTCTGTCTCCTCTAATGTGAGCCGCACAAAAGATTATACAGACCTGATCTGATTGACTTGGCTTTAGGTTATCAGCATGCTCAAGGTCAGAGGACACAAAAGACCGAGTGCGTCACTACAGAAAGATTGTGAAGCAGTCTAGGAATCGACTCTTAAAGACACAGGAAATGAGATGATTCAGAGCGTGACTGGCCAGCTGACTGATCTTTATTTGATGCAGGGAAAAATGATGGCAAGAGAGAATTATGACTTCCAATTGGATAGAGGGGTCTTCCTGTGTATACAAAGCTTTGAGCAGTAGAAATGTGCCTTTACAGGCCTGATGAACGTTTCTATAGTCACACCTCAAAAGGTAACAACCGCAGTTTGGTACTCATGAACTCAATGGAGCTCGATTCTGACAGCTCTAGGTGGCTTTTTAAAATAAACCTTGAGAACCGCTGCAAAGAAAAGAGCTAAATTTTCTCTTTAGGCTCAGAGTCTACCAGTGAGCTTGTTATTTAAACGTGTGGTAATCCACAAGCTTGTTTTCTTACCATCTATTCTGATGCCTAAGGTGTTACCAAAAATATGCAGCTACTGCTTCTCTAAAGCTGGATCGAGCTCAAAGAGATAATATACTGCCTTTCAGATTTCTTTGCTGACCTTGTTGATGCCAATAGTGAAAGCTGGCTCAACGTTAGCCTCCACATCTTCTTGCCGGTAGTAGCAGAAAAGGTTTGTTCCTTTGAGAACGGCGTGAACTTTTGTCCAACTCTGAGGGTCACCTCCACACTGCTGCTAGGTAAAGAAAAAATGGAAAAAAGGAGCAAAAAATACGCACACAAAGAGAGACGACAACATGAGATTGAGAGAACAGGAATGTGGTAGGGGAGAAAAAGAATAAAAAGTGTGGATATATGCCAAAAAATCTAGCACAACCCCTGGAGGAATAGTTTGCAGCAACACACATTTGCAGGCTTGCCAGCTTACCTTAACTTTCAAGCACCCGCTCATCATCTGTTGGGTCATACAGTGAGGCTGAGCTGCGAGGCGGCAACACATACTACCATAGAGTGGCAGCCAGTACGAACACTCTTCTGCAGGGAGGGAATAGATGGATGGGGAAAAAATAAACACTTATAAATAAATAAAAATATTCCCATGCCATTAAAATTCCACACAGAAACATGCATCCACACACACAAACCGACACACACTGCATCCTCACGTCACACCGTCCCCCCTTTAGCACACACTGGGGTATAAAAGGATGGCAGCTGCAGGGAGTGTCATGCAGTTTGGCAGTGAAACTTTACAGCAGGCTGCAGGGCCAATGAATAAAACACTAGAGGCCTGTCTGTGTTAGGGTCTGGACCCTTGTTATCCAGCATCATTACAGCTTTACACAGCAGTCACCTCACTAGCGCAGCCTTTATTACTGTGACCTTGACAATGGCTGCCTGTCAGAGAAAGTGGGAGGACAGAGGAGGAAAAGAGGAGGAGGCATAGCTGCGCCATATGCTGGTGTAAAAGAAATGATCAGAATGCCGGGCGAAGAAGTGAGGCGGTGACGAGAAAGACGAAAAATAGACAGATGGCCGATTTGGCAGAGGAAGCAGAAAGATGGCGAGGACACAGATTGATGGTGGCTGCCACTCACCGTTGCCTGAAATGATGAGGTCATGCGTGCGAAAGCTGTCCTGGACGTGTGACAGTGACAGTGTGGTGTGGGCTAAGAGGTGGTACTTCGGGCCCCTGTCAACACACAAGAGTGAAGAGAAGAATTTAATTTGGTGTTTGAGTATGCATGTTTGCAGTGAGCGATGGTCTCAATAAATATCTGCTCTCTGAAATTACAAGTTATTTCCAATCCATTTTCTGTTTTTGTATAAAAACTATAGATATTATATGAAGCTAAACTTACGGTACAGAGGGAACTGGCAGCAGGAGAGGGGCTCCCCCTCCGTTGCTTACGGGACTACACGGTCCAGGCTCCATGGCTGCCCGGAGTTTCTTCCCAGCTGATCGACCCAGTGAAGAGCTCAGCTTGCTGGCCAGTTTCCTTGGTGTGCTGCCTGCAGAATAGTCATCCTCTGAGCAGCAGCTATACAACTCAACCCGTAGCTCGAAACCCGGGCTGGCTTCACTACTGCAAGAGAAAATGCTCATCATCACCATCTCTTTAAGGGTCATTTTAAAAGAGTAACTAAGTGCATCCACTCGAGTACAGTGCTTACTTTCACATACCTATGTGCTTCAGGTGTGCTCTTTTATACCTCTCTTGTATAATATTTTGGGCAAAAATGTTGTACAGTATTCATGAGCCTGGTTCTGCTGGAGGTTTCTTCATGTTAAAAGGCAGTTTTTCCTTCCCACCGTTGCCAAGTGCTTGCTCGTAGGGGGAGATCTGATTATTGGGGTTTTCTCTGTATTATTGTAGGGTCTTTAGGTCTCTAGGGTATTGTAGGATAATCCTACAATATGAAGCAACTGTTATTGTGATTTGACACTACATAAATAAAACTGAACTGGCAAAACGATTGTAGTTTGTACTGTATTGCACTTTCAGTTACTTGCCAACTAAATTTATTTGAATTCTAAATACCGAACATAAAATTGGCTTAACAATCAGGTGTTATAGATCGTCCTCTCATTGGTACTTACAGTGTATCAAACAGTGCATTTACTAATTGTTCAACTTTGGATGTACAACATTACAAAACCATATTGATACAATATTAAACTACTGGTTTTACTACAGTCTTCTGTGATGGTCACAGATTATATGGCTGTTCGGTTATAGGACTGACAGGTGACTTACAATACGATAGTGTTGTCAAAGCAAATATCGGTGAGTGTCCGGTCTACTATCACCATGTCTGTATCAAAGATTTCTTCTCCCAGCTGCAACAGGCAGAACACCGCACATCGATGAAGCTCTACGAATGAAAATGTAGAAAGTCAGAAGAGAAGAAGAGGAAACACTTCTACATAACAGTGCATTTTTGAAACACTTCAGCAGCTTTCATTTACTTGCATCACTTTAAAAATCAGAGCCAAAATGGCAATGCAGCAAACATTAAACTGTTGGTTTCAGTTTAATGGTCAGCTGTGCTAAGAATTCATGGGAAATAGTGAACAGTATTTTGAAACTAAACTACAGGAATCTTTGTGTATGTGAAGATTATATTTTAGGGAAGGTTTCACTGTGATTATAGATAAACCCTGAAATCTTTGTGTCTAAGAAAACCATCATTTCCATAACACCAGTGAGAAATTATGAAAGAAACTACAACAGATGGAGCAGACAGAGTCGGGGCAGACAGGCCTAATCTCTTCTTCTCGAGCAGTTTGATTAGAAAGTTCCAGGAATCTACCCATAAAAATCAAAATTTGACCAATCTCCACTTAAAGGTCACCTTCTTGTACACTGATATACTGATTTCAGTGTTGCCGCTATTTTGAGACGGAACAGTTTGTTGTTTTGAATGATCGCCTAAGGTCAGCGAGACTAAACAGTAGTTTTCTGTAAGAAAAGAAGTGCCGAATTATTTCAAGAGTAGCACATGAGTGGGTTTTTTTTGTCAAATTCCTAAGGGCTGTGTCCATTGAGGCGTCTGAGCGATGTCCACGTTTCAAAAATAAAAGTGGATGGGTTGCCGCTCTTACACACTAGAGGAGATCCAGTGAGCACCGAAGAGGCACCAGTGCCTCTGGGAACAAAACGAGCTTACACGAAACAATTTAAAAATAGCAGCAGCACTGAAATTGGTCTAGAGGTGAGCAAGGACTTGACATTAAAGAAAAGATTGGAAAATTTGAATTTCCCAAGATTCCCAGAACCCTATGATCGCACCTTCACCCCACAACCTCATATTGGGGATAATCTTGTATTTCTTCCTCATAAAACACTTTATAACTGGCACTGGTAAGTTCTACTCGCGCTTCCATGTAAACGGCACATTGACACCTAATGTCCCACACTTCATTGCGCAATTACTATTCCAAGTATGAAATCAACACTCCTCACTAAAATCTGACTGGACAAATGAGAAAGGAACACACTTTGCCTCAGTTTATGTCTCTGTGTGCTTAATGACCTTGACTTACAGACTCATTAAGCTTTGTTAAGAGACTACTACCTGTCTCAAGAGTTCATTTCCATGCACAGGTCACGCAGATTAATTCATTCGAGTTGCCAAGGGAGAGGCTGAGCACTGACACTATTATAATGACGGTATGGAGGTTAACATACATTAAATTTATCTAGAGCAGGTGGGATAGAAAATGGCCAATATAAAAAAAATTCCATTGTTAGATTCTCAGCGCTCTATTGAATTTTATCACAAAGACAATTTAATACGAGCAGGTTCACAGGAATATTCCATAAGACAGAAAACTAGAGTGGATCCTTAAACGCACCACAGATTTTATTTGTTTTTGGCTTACAGCTCTCCCATCACTACTAAGAATGAAGCGCTTCATTGCCTTCGTGATTCTTTGTAATAGCCAGCAGGCAAAGCAATCCAGACAGGACAGTGGGTCAAGTTGTGCTTCCAGGAGTAAAGTAGAGAGATAAAGCTAAAAAAACAAAAAAGCTCCCAATGACTGTGAAGATCATTTCTAACAGCTGCGACTAAAGTCGTTTTTGCACATGCATTGCACCCCTGAATGTTTCTAGGCAATATTAAATGAATCAGTTGAATTGGAAATTAAACAGCCTTCACTGTGTGAACTCCCCCAGTAAGTAGTCTAGTAATTAATGTCTGATTGAGCCCATGTGAGAACTGGGTAGATCACTGACTAGAGAAATCACAGTGAGCGAGTGTGTGGTCCATACCCAACCCACTGAGTAAAGCAGCAAATAGCATATTTCTAGTGCTGAGAATTCATCTGACACAGAGCCTCCTGTTGTGTGCTGGATGTGAGAAAGGGCAACTTTGTACAGATGGATTTTTGCCACACTGTCTGGAGTCTGGGGTGTAAAAATGGGTACAGAGCAGAGAAAATGTCACACCGCAATCCGTCCATGTAAGCGTTTTCACCCGGAAGCGAGAAATAAAAGGTCATTTTCATTCTAGAGTCTCAATGAATCTCACACCTCCCCGCCCCATTATTTCAAGGATTTCAGATACAACCGCGGAAGCAACCGAGGGCTACTTTCCACAGAAGCTGATTATTAATAAATACTGGAAGTATAAATCATTCATAAGTCATCAATGACTTTCTTCACACACACACACACGACTTCTCACCTCCTTTGTTCTTGAAGTACTCCGTGTCTTTCCACATGAGAGGGATCCGAAGATCTGTAAAGACAACAGGCTGAAGATTAGACAACAGAGGACCAATTGTGCCTTTCTTTATAGTCATGTGAAAAAGAAAGCTTTCACAGGACCCTCAATAGTCCCGTGAAAAATAAAGTATAGCCTTACTGCTGTCATAGGAATTAGGAGGATAAGTAGCAGTCAGGTGCTACTAATCAAATGCACTTGATTAGTTAACCATCAGCAAGTGTAGATGCCTCTATGAAAACAGAAGTTTAGACAGTTTGCAGGTCTGGAGCCTTCAGGTGTGTGCTAACACACAACCACTGTCTTCCCAGGACTGCATGTCCCAGCAAATTCACCCCAAGGTCAGAGTATGCAATGATGACAGAAACTGGAAAATACCTAAGAGCTGCATCTCAGACTCTACAGGCCACAGTTAACATCTTAAATGTCAAAGTTCATAACCTTAAAATTTGAGAAAGACTGAACAGGTATAGCTCATTTGGAAGTGTTGTCAGGAGAAAAACACATAGCTGTATAACACAGAATAGGATTGCTAAAAGTGATTCCACAAGCTACTGAATCATGGGAGTTTCTTTGCCACATGACTGTAAATATCCTGCAATAACAACGGATGCTCATATTAACCAAGTCGCAAACAAGGCACCAATCACTAGTGCAAACTTCAGGTTGCACTAAGCGCTCAGCTTCAGACAAGTTTTTGGGTCTAAATGAATTAAAAGAAAGAGGATGTCGCTAATGCGGTCATCTCACAGCTCCAAACGTGCACAGAAAGTTCGCCTGCTGTTCAAATCTTCAATTTATGAGGGACTGCCAGTTGGAATAATGTGGAATTTTATGGCAGGGAGCCTTAAAGCGACAGGAGCTAAAATAACTTGTTCCAGACAGAACTGAACTGATGAACCGAGGGGCTGCATGAAGACCCGGTTTACTGGGAATAATGCAATTTATTGTCACAGAGTTTAAGAGTAAAAATATGGAGGATTTTTATTCTTAAGAATCTCAATAAGCTTCTTTTGGCTGCTCCCTTATTCACAAAGCGTCACCATAGCAGGTAGCACCGCATGCTTAATTTGGCAGATTTTTACCCTTCCTGATGCAACTGCAAAGGCATTTGTGCCACATCCCGTGACCGAACCACGGATCATTCGCTTGCTGGGTGAATGTGTAAATCATTACAATAATGCTTTTCAAAATGTCTTTGTTTACTTACATTGCATTCTACAAGTAGACAAGATGACAGTAAAATTTGATCTGACTGTCTTGATCTCCAGAGTGAGCTTTCATCAATGTGGTGGACAGCAGCAAGTCAGAAAGTACAAAGTAATTTAAAAATGAAACATCCGCTATTAAAGGCTGATGAGAGCAGCTCAGCATTAAATTACAGTAATAAGAGGAAGCTTAAATTTGATCCATTTCCTCCTTTTACTGCTGGTCACAGTCTCTTGGCAACAACAGTGCCACATTTAAATGATTAAATAACTTTAAAAGCTTTCTCAAAATCTTCCAAAATGCTGGGAAAATTTCCGCCCTGAACCTTCTCCTATCACTTTTCTCTCAGAAATAAACGCTTTTGTCTATTTCTCACCTGAGATGGCGACTTTTCCTTTACATGGGAGCCTGTCGCCCATCGGCCCTGCATCTGATGATCTGCGTGTGGCTTTCTGCATGACCTGAGCCTCCTTCATCCTCTGCAGTTCTGACATGTAGGCCATGATACGGGTGCTGCATGTCTGTAGACTCTTTGCCGCTTCCAAAGCCTGGTCTTTTTGGGAGCAGGCAGCCAGCAGCTTGCAGGCTCCATCACGCATTCGGATCTCATGATCAATCTTCTTCTGAATGTCGCTGTCCTGCAAAGACGAGAGCGGGACAACAGGCATTTATGAGTAATGAAGACCCATTTGAAAGTGAGGTACACAATAGATTCACTTCTCACTGATAAGACATTTTAAAAAATGATGTTTTGGGAGAAATAAAGGCACAAAAAGGGTTAGAAATGACAACTTCAAGCAAAGTTTGCATTAGTTTGTGTATGTGTGTGCATGGCCTTTAGCCCTCTTAACAATGAGCCCACACCCCTGCTGAGCAGACACGTCCATGTTGAATCATTTAGTGCAAAGTCACTTGGCATACACTCACACAGACGGAGCGGTAACTCTCAAGTTGGGAGATAAAGAATGAAGCCGTCAAATGCTGAAAGTCTGTGTCCCGAAGATACCCCCAGATACTCAAATGTGCACATGCGTACTTTGCAATTTTAAACTGATTTCAAACAGATTTCCTAAAGAAAAAACAGCACTGCGCTATCAAACTAAATCTAGCCAATGTGCTTTAAGAAACCTGTCACATGGGTGTAGTAAAAAAACGAAAACAAAATAAACCCCCAAACTTTAACTTTGCTCAGAAATGAAAACACAATGTAGATATACAGTACTCACAAGTATTCACAAACACAAAAATAAACGCAGGATTCAAACGAAGCTCAAGGAAAAGAAAAGTTTGACTAAGCTTAAGGGTTCATGCTAATCCACCCGGCCTGCAAAAGCATTTGTGTAAATTCCAGTTAAGAAGTATAGAACAGTAAGGTTATCTTTAAACTGAAAACAATCTGTTATTATCATTATTATTATTATTTTTTTTATTGTTGAGCAGATGGTGTTCAACCTCTCCCTGACTGCTGAAGCACGTGTGTGAGAGCGTGTCTGCTCGCCATCTCCGGCGATACATTAACAAGAATCCGCTGTCCTCAAATATAACCTCTAATGCTCCGAGCGCTCTCTGCCTGATAAATGCCTCGTCCTTTCTCCGCTACTCCAATATTACTCATTTATCTTCTCTCTCTGTCTGATTCCTATGAATTTTTTATTCTTTTCATTTAAGCTTTTATAATTCACCTCCTCTTAGACCCCATCCGTTCCACTCCACCGTCCTCAATCGGCTTTTCTTTCTTGTCCTCCACATGCTCTTTCTCCTTTCTACCTGGCTCTCTCTCTCTCTTTAAGAATAAGTCACTTTTGTTCAGCAGAGAGCCAGCAGGAGGGGAATGAATTTGATTTCAATGGGAAAGTTTACATTTGGACGCAGATTCTCGCTGGACTGCACTACAACCTGAGGTTTTGTGTGATTAACCGCTGCACTGAAAGAAATGCTTCTTAGGATATGACCACATTGTTTCTGCATGGTGGTGAAAGCTATACTAGAAATTATAAATCATACATGAATTAAATAACTCCTTGCCTAGAAGAAACCACCAAAAACACTGTCTGTCATAAGCGCTCCAGCAGTACTTTCTCCTTACTTGCTACAGTAACAGGATATCACATTAAAAAGGGATGAATGTGAGATTTCTCCACAGAAACACTCTAACAGAAGAACTATCAGGCACAGCAGTGAGATAATGATCACTCTAGAGTCATGCACAATCTACACTGCAGCTGTTAAACACAACGTGGCTAAACAAATAGCCTCCATCATTAAATGAACGCTTTTACTGCCCCAAAAACAATTACAGCACTCTTGAAAAATCAAGGTGATCAAATTATAACAACAGTATAAACATAACAGTTATCAACTGGATGACTATGAGGTACAAGAGGAAATTTTAATTTTCAAGGTCAAGCACTGTTTCATGAGCATTTACTTTGCAGCGGTTTAGGCAATAACGGCTGCGTGTTGAGTTATTTAGAGGGGACAGCAAATTTACACTGTTATACAAGCTGTACACTGACTACTTTACATATCTTCAGTGTTGTCCCATGAAGAGATATAACAAAATATTAACATTGAAAATTGATTGAAAATAAACAAATAGCTGAAGGAACTATTGCCCAGGACCACTTTAAAAAGGGAGTGGCTCAAGACATTTGCACAATACTATACTTGGCATTAAAATGCATGTGAAAAACAAAAGAATTTGCAGTAAAATGTGACATTTTATGCCAAACTTTCCATGATACCAAGTGTTCTTGATGCTTGAGATGCCTAATGTAGACATTTCACTTATTTATCATAGGTTACAGGTTATATGTGAATGCAGGCAATGAGTAAGTTAGTGATAAAATTACTGCATCTTTTTTATGTTATATGGGTAAAGCAAAAAAAAGGAAAAAAGAAATTTGGAGTGACTCTTAAAGAGTGAAAGGCCAGTGTCCTTGTTAGCAGTAATGCCACAAACCACACATGCAGCACTAGACGTAAGCTTGCCTGGACAGCTCTCAAGAATGCATACACTCCCATAAAGACACACACTCACACATAGAATAGAATAGAATGCCTTTATTGTCACTATACAGTTGTACAATGAGATACAGAGCATCTCCTACTCAGTGTAAACATGCTTTTGGGGGGGGGGGGGGGTTCAGTTCTGTACATGCATAGGGAGCAAAGAAATTGTCCATGTCGGTGCAGTAGGTCTTAGAGTGACCTGCTGGGAGGAAGTCCTGTATTTATAGCTGCTAATTTAACAGGCTTTTCCTTCTGGGGATCTCAGAATAGAATTCAAGCAGCCTAGATCCACGTCTAATCCAGAAGTCTGGCTCTACGTCAGGCCAGTAGGGTACAAAAAAACAGACTGAGTTCAACACTTAACAACACAGGCATACACACATGCCATAACGAATCGACATTTTCTTTTCATGATCTTTCATAAATACTCAGAGGCGTGGACAAACACAACCTCGTAAGCTCACATGCGCTGTGTGTTCAGAGCGGCAGGTGTTAGACCAGTGGGCATTTCTGACTGCCTGTGATGATGGCAGGACGGACAGAAGAAAGAACGAAGATGAAGGAAGGGTGGTTAGGCGACAGGGATGCAGGGCATGCTGAGCATCAAGCAAAGACACAGACGGGAAGCGGAGCCGTCAGAGGAAACAGGGAGAATCTTGAGGAAAACAGCAGAAAAGAGGAACAGAGACAAAAGGAGGAGATATGTGTTGACAGGGTGAAAGGTGTGGGTGGAGGACGAGAGGAGAGGAAACTTTGAAGGGGAACTGCAAGAATTGAGAAAAGTAACAAAAAATGTGATTATATTTTTAAAAGGTTAGGTACAAAGGATCCCGGTGAGGAAGATGATGAAAAACTGAAGGGTTGATGGAAAACAAAAGTGGCAGCTAAAGAGACAAAGATTTGGCAAGAGGAAAAAGGTGCTTGTTTATATAACAACTCTGCTGTAGATGTAATTAAGCAGAAAGCTCTGTGAATGAGCAGGGGTGAAGAGGGAAAAAAGAACAAACATGAATGAAGACATGAGAGTCTTTTCAAAGCTTAATGGTTAAAGGAAGAAAATCGCATAATTAAGAGGTTGGCCATTTAGATGTTGTAAAGGTATGTGTAGCAACAATGTTAGAAGCTCTGTGAGGTTTAGTGGTGCTCGGGGCTAAATGCTACCAGCATGCCAACCCTAAGAAAGCATAAAGTTTGCTGTGTAATGCATCTCAGTTTAAGACGCTCATATTTGCTGATGTGCGGAGAGGAAAAGACAAAGAGCCTGATGCAAAGCAAAGCTGAAACAGATGGTAAATCATTTAGTGTTGTAGCATTTAGTCAACCTGAGTACATAAATAGGAATTTTTACTTGTTATACACCAGACAAAACATCAAGGGAATCACCAGAGTGATTAAAAATTACCCCAAGGGAGACATAAATATGCGCACCAGAATTATGTATCCAGCCACACAAAGCTGCTGGCTCTAGTGGGTGACACATTTTTCTCAAAACCACAGAAATCAATCTGATTGCGGTATTAGAGGAAAACACTCCATGTTCAAAACAACAGGATTCATCATGAATGTGCTAATCTGTCCTCCAGATGATAAGACATTTAATAAAGGTAAGAGTAAAGTGTGACCTGCTGCTAGCCCTTTGTAGATAGATTTGGTTATCAGTGATGTTTACAGGGTTCATCAAATCATCTGTGGAAAATTTCATGGCCGTCCTTCCTGTCTAAATATTTCATTTAAACCACAAATTGTTTTTCCTCACATTGTAACTCTGCTGGGTTGCAGATAATTGTTCGATAATGGAACTATTTAAAAGTGTCATTATGGCACACACAGTATATGCATAATGCTAATGTAACCTTTCAGAAGGTAATTTGATGCCTCACTGGCTACCAGATGGTCACTTTCTGTCACCTCTCTGTCCCCGTCTGGCTGTGTTGATCCTCACTTGCGTGTCTGTGGGTGTGATCACAGAGACACCAACATGCACACCTACACAAACAAGCAAAGACACACGCGCTGCTCCGGGATTTGACGCCCCTGCAGATGGTGTGTAATGGTTTGTTTACGATGTGCTGTTCTGCGTGAATAGCCTTTCCTGTTCAGATCGCTGACCCTTGACCTCTAACCTCTATCTCTACACAGGCCAGACGGTCGTAGTTAAAGTGTGGGATTAGACCTAGGGGTTAGGGTTATTACATAATAATTCAAACAGCCTGTGGGTGAAAGTCACGCAGGGCAGGATGAACAGTTAATACTAGGTCGGGAAGAATTTTCACAGGTAACAGCATGAATCCCTCTGCTTAATTATGCTAAAACGCTATGCACATATATTGAGCATATCTAACTGTCAGTGTGTTAGAGCGCTAATGCTAATATTCAGTGACCGCTCTGCCCACGTGCAGACTCACAGAGCTGCCAGCGTGGCTGTAATGTGGACCCTGTAGTCTTGTTAGATTACTGCATCCCTAGCATGTTCACAGTGAAGCGTGGGATGTCTGAAACATGTAGTATATACCACAGAAATCAACGAGGATACCAGCAGTAAATATTGTCCTCCTGCTCGCCTCACCCTGTAAGGGGATAAGAGTACACAAAGGTGATTGTGTAAACTGGGATGGAACGAGTATCC